CTCTCCCATGGGACAGTTCCCTTCACGCCTGCCCCCTGCTGTTCCTGTGTAGTTATTGCAGGTGTATGGACCCCTCCAGCCCTCCCCAGCCATCTGGCCTGTTCCTTATGCTTCCATCCGAATCTGATGATCCTCTCCTTGGGAGAAACCTTGCTCGGATTAGCTCTGGAAAAGCTCTGAATTTTGAATTAACTTGTAGGAAATCGGCTTGCTTAAGAGATCAAATGCTGCCATTCATTAAAAAAAAAAAATGCATATAACCGCTAATTTAGATATTTTTGTTCATGGTTTTACATCTTTTCCAAAAAGGTCTTCTCAGCTTTTGTTGGTTCCGTTTTTCTGAAAACTCTCTGCTGTCCTCTATAATCGTTCCACTTCCTCTAGAATAGTCTCTCTAATGTATTCACAGTTAGAAATGCAGTGTTTGTACTACAGCCTGAGTTTTTGCCAATTTAGGGATTACTAAATGAATTAATTAGAAAATACATCTGACACCAGTCCATACAGCCGATTGTGAATAATTTATTCAGCTAAGTAGTGTAAGGAAATCGTATGTAGTGAGTGAAAGCATGATACTAGACGGGACCTTCCTGCTTTGTTTCTGCCTGAAGTGAATCGTAAATCTGCTCCCACCTGGGGAGAGCTTGGCTCCTCCTATAGGTTCCTCCACCATGGAGACCTAGCCTCATCACTGTTTCAAAAACTGAATCAAGTTAGCAGCTGCGCTGCCAAATGCTTTTTTTTTTTTCCTTAAACTATCTTGAGGAGGAAAGTAAGCGGATAGATTTGTGACAGCTTTGTGAGCAGCAGTACTTTTGAAACAGGAAGTCTGGGCGGGGAAGCGCCAGTGGCTACTCAGGTCTGAAATCACAATCTGCTAATGAGCTCTTTGTGGGACCTGCTGAGGCCTGATTTGTAAGTCTCCCCCACTTCTCTGATACCGCCGTTATCTGTGACCTGTAGTGTGTGTGTGCGCTGACCATAATCTGCCCCTTTCTGCGTTTGTTCCAAACTGTGCACCTTCCTCTCTCACTGCGTTGTTGGCTTGCCAGCCCTCAGCAGCGCTTTCTCTCTCCAGAATTTTAAACTTGTTTAGTCCTCTTCCAGGGAAGCTCTGAATTAGCCAGTGAAGTCCTCAGGAAAGTCATCCATTTCAAGGGGAAACACAGGCGATGAATACAGAACGGACACTCCTGAACTGGAGAGAGCTTGGACCCCTTCCCACCCTGCTCCCCAATCCCCTAACTAACTGCCCCCAAACCTTCAGTCCTTCGCTAGACACAAACTGAGTGTTTGAAAACACACACACACACACACAGCTGTGCTCTAAACAATAGTGACAGAAGCTATTTCTGACGGACCAGAAGCCATGCAGGCAGGACTCACCAAACACTCACAAATCTAAAAGATGGGAACACATTTTACAAGTGGAGAACAGCCCAGGGTCACCAGCTCTCCAAGTGACAGAATCCAGACATCGAGTTCTTGACCGCAGCCCTGGCAGGTATGATGACATTTTGCCAGTTCACCAGCAAGGAGAGAGTGACTCCCCTAAAGCATCTCCGCCAGGCTTAGACCCCAGGGAACTCAGTCTCCATGGCCAAGGCTTATGTCACATGACCCAGAGGAGGCCCTAGCCAGAGAGCTAGGGAGACTCGGGGCCACCACAGATATGAAACCAGCCCCATGTCAGGCTGAGGCCGATCAGAATGACACATAGCCGTGCATTACAAACCCCTGCTGAGCACTACTGGATTGTGAAGCAGTCTGGAGCCTGTCTGGTTTAACCTCTGTTTGCACCTGGAAGTTTTTCTGGATTAACAAGCAGATCAAAGGTCACAATGGGCTCCTGGAGAGCAAATGAGAAAGCAGTTTCCAGTCCTGATGAACTCTGACCACTCTGCCCCCAAATGGACAGTTTGTCAGTTGATAATCCATTTTCTGTGAAGGCTTTCACTGTGGCCATTTCTTCTCAAACTGTACCCATTGGTTGACCACTGAGACAGAGGTGCCAGAATGCTAATTAGGGTTGATATACATCCCAGTTACGTTAACAGGGCTTGGCTGGGTGGTCACAGCTCTAAATCATGCCCCTGCTTTACCTCTGTCTAGCTCTTTCTAAAGTAATCATCTAAATCAGAAGTGTCTAGAGTCACACTGATGCTCAGCCGGCTCATTCTGCTCGTATTTGTGTGTCACGGTTGCTGTGAGCTATGGCCCCAGTCTTGGTGACTTAAATCAACAGACTACATTCTGTCATGGCCTGGGAGCCAGAGATTCAAGGTTAGTGTCACTGGGCTGAAATCAAGCCAGCTGTGAGAAATCACTGCCCCTGCGGCCATGGTGAGGCACACCCCACGTACACTTCCTTGTCTCTCAGTCCATGCTTATGGCCACATCAGTCCAGTGTCTTCCTCTGTCCTCCCTGAGTCTCCCCCTCTTCTTAGTGACACCTGCTCTGCTTCTCTTCTGAGGACATTTGTGACTGCATTTAACAACCACCTGAACAGTGACAGGGACTCCCAGTGTCCCTGTCTGTGATTCCATTACCTTACAAAAACCTTTTGTCCTAAGTGGGTAACATTTATGGACTAGATTGGGGCCTAATCTCTTCCTGTAATTTCAGAACTATTTAATCTCACTGAGCTCAAGTGTTTTGTCTGTCAAGTGGGTATAAATATCATATATGTTTCATAGGATTGTTTGAGCTCAAATGAGATCATCCATGCAAAGCTCTCAATAAAACCTTGGCAGGGACACTGAGACCTCAGTAAGTGGCTGTTGGCTCTGGTTCTTTGTGTCCCACTCAGACCGAACCACTTAGCGCGTGCATCACCTTGTCCCACTGCTTGTCACAGCCTTGACTCTTGTGACCTTTTCTTTATAGACTTGTGTTGTAGCAAGATCCCTCTCCTTATCTCTCACTGTATAACTGCCATGATCATTGCCCCTTGTCTCTTTGCTGATCCAAATTCTGTGCATCCTTCCAGGGCCCACTCAAGTCTCCTTTCTCAAAAATTTCCTCAACCAGCCCAGCCCAGGCCCGTACTCTTTCTGAGCGTTATCAGTTCTCGGGATGCTTTGTCAACTCATAGCCTTCTGCATACAAATGCATGTGCTATACAGACCCATAGCAGTAATGGATAAGCCATAGAGAAAGCAAGTCTAGACAAGTCAGATCTGGACAGAAGGTCAGATTCATATCTTACCACCTTAGACCAGAAACACAAGTGGGGGTGGGGGGGGGAGGCATTGATGGCAAAGAGCCTGGTTTCTAGGGGACAATGGGAGGAAGAGGCTTCTGGAAGGATACCATAGGAACAAGGCTTAATGCTCCGCATTTAAGGGTACATAAATGGAGTCTCCAACTAGAAATAAACCAATACAACAAAATACAACTTCCAGCTGCTGCCTGGTGCAGGCCTGGGGACTCTAAGAGTTGAGGCAATCACCAGGGTGCTAGACAGAGAGAGTAGCCACTGACCAGAAAAGAGTAAAGGAAATGGAAAAAATCCTTTCTACAGGAAGTAGACCTGCAAATAAAAATGCCATAAGCCATAAGAGAGCAAATATTTCGAATAACACCCAGCAACGCCAGGCATAGGAGCCCTCCCAGTGACTCCAGCACTCAAGAAATGAAGGCTAGGGCACCCAGGAGGTCAAGGCCAGGCCAGGCTATACAAGTCCCTTTCTCAAACAAACTAAAAAGAAAGTCAACAAAATTATATGTATTAAAAGGAGCATGCATTTGCTATGGGCTTCACTCAATTTATATAGCAGGTTAAGAATACCAAAGTGAGTCTGTCTGTCCTAGACATGAGAAAAAGAAGCAAGGCGGACCCATAAGAACAGGAAAGTAGTCATGTTTTAAGAAGGATCGAAGTGCTAAAATAAGATCAGGGGGGTGTGAAGAAACATCCTGGGCGGCTGAACAGCAAGGATAAACTTCAAACTGGGATATCAAAGGAGAGCTTGGTGACCATAAAGAAGAGCAAAACCTCAACAGAATTCTAAGGTTAAAACTGAGCAAATGATACTCTCTGAGGATAAGAAAAAAGAGAGCAGGTTTAAATGACATTCTTAGGTTATTATAGGCATTAAGGCCTTTACAAAATAAATAGTACTTATTCAATTTAATAATCAGAATAATGGGGAATGGGTTTGATCAAAACACACTAATTCATATATGAAATTCTCAAACAGTAAAAAGAAAAATAAGTTTTCAAAAATGAATCAGAAAAAGACTACAGTAAAGCAAACACAGTCAGAGAGAATGAATAAATAAATGAAAGAGTAAAACAATAAAATTGGCAGCGTGATAGGCCCCTTTAGTCCCAGCATTCTGGAGCCTAGGCAGGTGGATCTCTGTGAGTTTGAGGCCAACATGGTCTACAGAGAGTTCCAGGCCACACAGGACAGCATAGTGAGTCCCCACTACAAAATTAATGAAATCAATATAAAGTAATGGTAGCAAAAATCTACAAAACCAAACCCAGTTCTGTAGAATGCCTAATAAAATGTACAGATTTGACCAAGATTGGCACAAGGTTTGAAAAAGACTTAATGCATTCTTAATGCACAGGGAGATTTAGTCAGAAACATGATTAGTGACTGTGACCTTAAGTTTAGTTGAAATGATTTCCTAGAAAAATGCAAATTAGAAAAATTACTCCAAAGCCCAGAATAAACAATGAACATCAGAGAAAATAAATAATCAAAATCCACCTCTCCCCCAACAGAAACAGCAAACCCTACATCATTTTACACCCCAGTTTTCTCTAAGTCTTCCAAGGTGACATCTTTCCCTCAAGCAAACCAGTTTGGAGAACCAAAGCAGAAGCCGGGGGGTAAGTTAAGTCTTGAGAGCCAAGTAGAGGACAGTATAAACAGCAACTGCAGGGCAAGCCTGAGTATGCTCATCAATGCAAAATCCCCCATGGGCTTCGGTCATGAAGAAAAATACATGATGTATTGTGACCAAAGTGACTAGCCATGGACTGGACTGGAAAGCCAGACACTCAGAGCCTGGGATGGGGTTTTGAGAAAGGCAGTAGTATTTGTAGTATTTGTTCCATTAACATTCACCTCCAGAGTCGTCAGAATCAGATCGATAGACTAAGACTCTGCCCTAAAGAGGGGAGTTTGGACACACAATGACTGGCACCATCTTGGTGGAGCCAGAAATCAGAAAGAGGACATTAGTGGAGAACACAGGGAAATCCAAAGCCTTCAGTCCAGTTCACAGTAAGCTGTCTTAGTTTTGACAACTGTGAGATGGTTCTAGAGTATCATATTAGGATACTCTAAGGGAAAGATTCAGGGAACTCTTGAGTGCTAGAAGGACCCCCAGGCCATGGGACAGAGTAGCTGGAAAGAGGACAGTGTGCCCTACATCATAGAGGCGGATGGGAGCTAGCCATCTGTTGCCAGCCTCGGAGTGGCCGCAGCGTGGAGTGGAGGGGCCAGGTGAAGACAGAAAGCCGTTCCCAAGGTCTCTCCCTGGGGTGTCAGGCAGGTACTGAGGGAACTTCAACAGTGTAATAATAGAATCACCTTCATCTTCCAAGGAGGTGTGGGGGAGGAACTGAACCACAGAGGATAGGAAGTAGTGTGCTGCACAATCGGCCGCCTGACTAGGGTAGGTTGGGAGGACCACGTGGAAGGCTATGGCGTGAAAGACCAAGGGAGGGGAACACTGGGCCTGGGAGACTCCAGCGTGAGGAGAGAGGAAGAGATGAGAACCCACACCCAGCATCAGGGCCGGGGCTCTTGGGTGGGTGGGCTGTGCAGGCAGAGAGATTGGGAGAGGTGGTGCTATTAAACCTGAGAATCCAGAGGAGAAAAGATCAAATCCACAATTGTCCCATTACAGCAAGCTGTATTTTGGGGTGCACCTGGACTAGCCATCCAGCTGTCTCCCCCTAAATTGTGATTTGAGAGAACATTCCCTGCCAGCCTCTTGAGGTGCTTTTATTTATTTATTTTTTTTATCAGAGAGATAAGGTGTTTACAGGGGCAAGAGAGTCGGTTGTTATACATGGTTAGAAAAATACAACGAAAGGGAAGGAACCAGGGTAAGGACATACATCGTGTGAATGGAGTCACAAGCAGTTTACATCAGATCTAAGCAACAGGAACTTACTCTTAATTACAAATAGAAACCTTAACCTACAAGGACTCAGCCTAGGAACTTATTCTTTAACCACAAGCAGAAACCATAACCTGCATGGGATGAATGAGAACTGATTCCGAACTGTCTAAACTGCAACCAGAACCTTTAACCTGCAAGGCGCATTGTTCCTGCCTTGGTCTCACAATGTGAAGCAGAGCTGTGAGCTCAGGGTGGGGTGTGATTGACTGATGCCTCTGCTGGAGGCTGTTAGTAATCAGGTCACTTGTGAGAAGAACCTCTTGGACGACCATGCACCCCATCTGTTGAAAAAAAAAATGCACACAGAAAACCGACACACATGCTCACATATTGCTGTAATGCACCAACATTTGTATCATAAAAAACACAAAAACAAAAAATTGTAAAGGGTGATGTTGAGAGTAAGTGCAGTTTGGTGAGGTCAAGAGAGTTATCAGCAGGTCCTTGTAAGAAGTCTAAGCAGAGACAAGGTGGGAACAGGGAACCCTACAGAAGTTGAAGGGTCATTGATGCAGGTGTATCAGTCCCAGTCTCTACTGCTGCCGAGGACACATCTCAGTGACTCCTGGATACAGACTGCTGGAAATGGCACAGTTGTGCACCCGTTCCTGTCACAGGGTGCTCTGTTTTCTGATAGGTGGTACTGCCCCGACCTACCAGAGTCTGGTCTGGCATTGGTACCAAGTAGAGGAGTCCCTGATACTTGCTGGAGGTAGGGGAGGGAGAGGCATTCTTCAGGGAAGTTGGGGACAGGGCAACTTGCTCTTCCTTTGTTTCTTGTGGTGGTGGGAATCCTGTTACTGGGTTTCCGTGTCGTACACACACCAATAGCCTTGAATAGCATCCCTTCTGCTGAGGTTTCTCCCTCCTCTTCAGTTCTGACTGACCACACCCACACGTTCTGGTATTCCTGGGATTTTTAGAGCCTTGTGTACAGATCCCCATTCTCAAGGTCTCCTCTTCTTCCTTCCCTCCCAGTCCTGTGTGTAGCACCATTAGTGACCAGGAGGTGTCATCCATAGCCTTGTCTCCATGGTCAGAGCCCCAAGGCTTGACCTTCACACCATTTCCTGACCACAGCTGTCACTTACCAGAGGCTAGGCTGCTTTCGTCCCCTCCTGGTCACTTACCTTAGTGCCTTCCGTTGGTCTCCAAGAACAGAAGCCATGTTGATGATCCGAGTGGTGAGTTATGCAGTCTAATGGGATGGAAATTAATAAGACAAGTCTTGAAGCCGCCATCTGTCCCCACACCATCGACTTGTAGATGTTTATCAAGCGAAGAGGCCTACCATATGTGTAGCATATTGTCCAAAGGAGAGGAAACACTCTATTTTTTTTTCTGGAAAATCTGGCATTGTATGTGATGTTTTGTTCCCCTTTTTGCTGGCCTTCTCTTCTTATCACAGGTAAATCAAATGGTGGCGCCCTCACTTATCTCTATTAGCTTTTCATAAGGACGGTTCCGCGAGGTTCCTGCTTACGCAGTGTTGGGCCTCATTCTGCTAAGGATTTAATAACATGTTTTAAGTGCAATCTGTTCCTGCGTTTTTGCCTCACACGCTACCATGTTTTAAAATGTCTCTTCAGGAACGTTCTACTCAAGTTTTTCTCCCTGTGGCTTTTGTTCAAGTTTCTCTCGTTGTTTGCAGCTCATTTCCCATTCGTTCCCACGGTGTTCCTCTGAAAACACAGGCAATGTTGTGCCACCTTGCACATGGTCATGCCTCAGCATATGGCCGCCTCTAAATCACTCATCCCATTTCCATCCTGTCGACCCCAGCAATGCGTTCTCTGCTGCGCTTCCTTTTCAGGGAGTCCAGCATCCCTTATAAAGCCTATCTGTCTCAGCTCCCCCACCGTCACCCAAGAATGCCTAGTCTTCCTCCACCAGCCTATAGATTGATCCATGGCCTCGTAGACCCCATACAGAGAACACTATGGCCAACAGAATGTTATATATACAATCGCCAGTGCCTTAGACCCAAATGAGAGGAAGCATGGGGATGCTGTACATAGGAATACTGTTGACTGTCTCAAATAAGCACGCGTGCATACTGGTTTCTTAAATATAGAGAAGTAAAGTGTAGTGTGTTTACAGGATGATAATCAGACACTCGCATCTGCCACGCTCTTCTCATCCACTTAAGCCTCATGGCTACTCATCGCGTAGGCAGATTTTCATCCCCAAGTTAAGGATAGGCAACCTGTACTTGAGAGCTCGGTTTCTGCCCTGGGGTCTTCAGCTGTGTGCTCCCTGCCAAGAGCTGTCATGTGGGGATCTTCCAATTCCTACCATTCCATGGCCTGTGAACTTCCTCCAGCCACTCCCATCTCCTGGTCCACCTCTCATATCGAGGGTGACAGAATCGCCCTAAACTCAGTTTTTATTACGTGTTTTCCCCTCCTCCATCATCAGTAGTTATCTATTATCCTTCAAAAGGAAATAAATAAACGCTGTTTAGGACATCACTGAAAATCCTTGGCAATGCAAGTGGAATTTTCTTCCTTTAGAACAGTGGTCCTTAACTTGTGGGTTGTGATCCCTTTGGGGTCACATATCAGATATCCTGCATATTAGATATTCACATTACAATTCATAACAGTATCAAAATTACAGTTACAAAATGGCAGCAAAATGATTTTGGGGTTGGGGTCACCACAGCATGAGGAGCTGTACTGAAGGGTGGCAGCATCAGGAAGGTTGAGGATCACTGCTTTAGATTTTTCTCTCACCCATGTTCTGCTGTGCTGCATGCATCCCTTTATTCACACTCCCTTGCCTCAGGGAAGCCACTGCCCTGTCCACAGTGGCCCTGAAACCCCACATGCCCTGCAGGCCTCGGCTGTAGCTGGCTTTCCCCCGGGGCCCTTTGTTAACAACCAGAGTAGCAGCGAACTCACCCCTTTCTTAAGATGCACCCACCAACTGCTGCAGAAATGCTGTCGCACCTCCTTCCGTTTCCCATGATGCCCCACAATGTCTCCTCCACACCAGAGGTTTGCTAATTCCTGGTGCTTGCTTAGTATCATTGTCAATTTGAACTCGGGCAGAAAGCTTACTCTTGGGAAGAAAGGCTGTCTGCTCTCTGTGGACCGTCTGTCTGCAGGCATGTGAGGAACGTGCTGTCACAGACCATGGTAGTATGTGAGGGGTTAATCTGATCAGATCATTTTTTGTCTTTTCCCCCTTTTTTCTTCTTTCTTTTTCCTTTTTTTTTTTTATATAAACAGAGTCTCATTCTTCGTTGCAGGTTGAACTATAACTTACTATGTAGCCTCAAACTTGTAGTAGCAATCCTCCTGCCTCAACCTCCCAAGTACTGACTTGCAGGTATGAACTACTATGCCTGGCTGCCTTTTCTTCTGTAATGCTGTGGTGTTGCCGGCCTGCATGTTTGGAGAGCCTGTAACCTGTAAGCCTGTAAAGCTTACCTGTCCACCATACTTAGGACAGTATGGCTGGTCCATGTTTTGTGTTCTGTGGACATGTCTACATTTTTCTTTCATCATATAATTCATTAAATTTGATATATAAAGGCACACGTCCTTTATATATGTGAGATCCCATTACAAACATCATCTGGAGGCTGGTTTACGTGTTTGCAAGTCCAAGAGTCCATCGTGGGCTGGTTAGCATCTCACACGGAGGACAGTTCTGTTCTGGCTGAAGAGCCGTGCCACACTAAACACACCACCCTTCTCTTTAAATGCCACTTTTAGGGAGAACGGGGTAACAGCACTCAAAACTCATACCTTCTCCCTAAGAGCAAAGGGTAGCACCCCAACACTTGCAGTGCGACTCCCCACGGAGGGAAGTAATCTCCTCTCTGGTTCTTTCTGTCTCACTTCAGTTCTGCAGGCTGTCTGTGTTTGAACCAGAACATGAAAGACCTCGCAGCACCAGGAGCCCTCGGCAGCTCCTGCTAACACCGAGAGCAGTTTGCTCCTCAGTGCCTCCGGTCTCACTAGTAACTTCTATTTGGCCAAGTCACAGCCAGCTGCTTCTCAGCTGACTGGTGTGCCACACCCAGCATCTTGTAGAGAAGAGAATGCGTCATGAAATGTCTGTGCAGGAAACAACCCCGATGCTGACTCAGGCTGGAAGGAAGGATTCTGAGCCTCCCCCAGCCCCAGGCCAGAACCTTTCCCTTCGCCCAAATTCCTGTTCCCTCAAGGCTGCCGGTCCTGCCTTTCTACGGCCCAGGCTGCTTGGCTCTTATGTTCCCTCAGTACCTCCTCCTGTTTGCAGCAGAGGCAGCAGGACCCACTTCTTCCAGAGGTCGGCACCTCTTATGGGGCCTGCCTCTGGAAAGCTTGCTTCTTCATTTTCTGTTCACCTCACAATTTTTTTTCTTGAAACTTCTCTTATAAAGCAGACAGTGGGCTTCTTGTTCCCTGAGTGTCTCTGTTCCTTTCTGTCACGTCCCTGGTCCCTTTTCACTTCCTGACCCAGAGTGAGGTGTGTCTGCCTGCCCTCTGCCCTCTGGCCCATTACACATCAGCAATTGCCAGCTCTGCAGCTCCAGCCACATCCTGAGTGTGCTGGCCCATCCTCACGCCGGCGCGGACACCTCACTCACACCCCTCACTGCCACCATGCAGACCTGCTGGCCTCCTCCCTCCTGGGTCCTGTCCTTTGCTTTCACTTCCTAGAAAACTGAATCTGATTTCCATTTCTCTCTCGGACTCCGGGATGTCCAGGCTCCTCCCTCCCCAGGACTTCCTGTTCTTGACATCTCTCTCTCCTTCCTCTCTCCAAGCGTGAGCAGCCTGGGAGGCAGCTATCCCTTCCGGTTCCCCTTCTTGGCTTCACCCCTCAAACTGACCATCCTGGGGTGATGGAGAACCACCACCTCTCTGTGCCACTAGCCATGTTAATCTGCGCCTGCTGTGAGCAAGCTATGTTGAATCATAGATGGACATATGTGAGTCTTTCAATATTTGTTTCTGAATTTATTGAAGACAAGTGAACTCACAGACCACATCAACTTCATTTCCTTTGATCTGCCAAGTACTTTGGATTTCATTTGATAATCCTGTCATTGGCAAACACAGATTCTTTCAGTCCAGTCGTAACTGCTAATATTAATGATGCCCAGGTCACATATTACGTTCTACAAAATGATATCTAGGCTACAGGATAGGGCTCAAGGGGGTCTTACTGAAGAAGACAAAGCCTGAGAGCTGACACATGCTGAGAGTCCCTGCAGGTAGCTGTATGTGAATAGAAAGACCCAGCCCATGGGCTGCTGAGGTACAGGGCTGCTTCAAAACACCGAGCAGCTTCAAAGTGTAGCACTGGCTCCAGGCACAGAGTTGGATCCCAGAGGCGTGGCAGTTTAGTGAGCTGAATCAGGCAGGGGAGCCATGCTGAGCTGCAGCCCAGGGACAGAAGCCGAGTCCATCACCTGTCAATCTCCCGGTGCATGTACCGATAGTCTGATAGCAGCAGTCCAAGAGTGGGAAGTAGGAGCCACCTGCCTGCGCTGGTGATCCAATGGAGGGGTTGCATCCTTAGGTCTGCTGTGTTCAGTGAACCACAAACCTGGTCTACTGATGCGGTTTTGACCCGCCCCTGCATCCACATGCCCCTGAATGAATTTGGAAAGTTCACAGGTGTAAAATCATTTGTTTGTATGTTATTTGTCATAGTTCATGCTGGGTAGAGTGTTGCTTCCTCACACAAACAAGAGGTCGCGTGTCATCCTTTCTGCTCAATCAGGAGCAAACTGCTACTTTATAAAATTGAGTCAGTCTGGACCAAGAACCCCCTGAAAACTGCTGTTCTGAGCAATATGAAGCAGTTTACACATGGCAGGGCCTGCCTACCACCACACGTCCGTCTTATCCTCTTTCACAAAGGTGCAATAGCAGTAGCTACCTCATAGGGTCGTGAGGTCCGTGTCAGTGAGTGACACTCGGGATGCCAGAGCATCACGGGCACAAACATGTCCTTGCCAGGCCCCTTTGGTCAAGTCTCTCACCAGCTGCAACTCCCCTCACAGATGTGCCCCTCTGAGCTCTCCTGTCCTTTGAATCATGTCTTTGCACCGCCCCTCCATTTCTCTGTCTTCTCTCCCCGAAATGCCCTGCCTCCTGTTTGGTCCCCACCAGCTGGACTTCAAGGTCAGTTCAATACCACCTTCTCGAGGAGGTGATCCCAGCTCCCGTCAGCCTCCTCCTCTGCTCCCACCACCACCCCCCAAAAAGGAGGAAAAATAGAATGTTTTTCTCCCTATGTGTTCCCAATAACACTTGAGCTGCTGTTTCAATCAGTTCTCCTAATATCACATCATCATTCCCCTTAGTGCCAGCGACCTTGACAACTGAGCTCTGGGTCATCCACCTTGTTACTCTCTGGTTTAGCGAATGGCACAGAGCAGGTAATAAACACATTGGCTAATTTATATTTTTCATGATAAATTTGGTAAAAATCATGGCCAAAGAAAACATTTGTTATGCTGGGTTTCCGTTAGCGGTCTGGAGTATTTGTCCTGCCCTGGAAGTTTAAAAATCTATTTCACATCTTCTCTTAAAACTCTGATTTTGAAGCCGGGCGGTGGTGGCGCACGCCTTTAATCCCAGCACTTGGGAGGCAGAGCCAGGCGGATCTCTGTGAGTTCGAGGCCAGCCTGGTCTCCAAAGCAAGTTCCAGGAAAGGCGCAAAGCTACACAGAGAAACCCTGTCTCGAAAAACCAAAAAAAAACCAAAAAAAAAAAACTCTGATTTTGAAAGTAAATCTCTTAAGATTGAAATCTATCAAACTGCTTTGCTTCCTAGGAGTTTCTACATCTCCAGAAAAAGTCATGAAAACTGAAAAATGCTCGATGTTCTTTAACAGGGCAATAATTTGATACACACTTTGGACTTGTATTTGTAAAAGGGTATAAAGACCCTTTATTCTGAAGCCCGGTTTGCTAGAACAGGAACTTCCCATGCTCCTCTAGAACAAAACATTTGTTGTACTGTGGTGGCTTTTTCTTTTTTTAAAAATCCTTGCTCTTTAGACTGTTGTTTAAAATCTTATGTTTTTTAATGTGTTGCCAAGTAGAAAGTGATAGCAAATTCCATAGTGTAGAACGGCCCGCCCCCCTCCCTCCCTCCATCGCACACACATAATGATGTCTGCGTCTGCTCCCACCCTCATCAACAGACTTTTGTTCCAGGACTGAAAACGACAGCCTCCCACTAAACAAATAAGCTCTCCAAAGGGTGTGCTTTTCTCGGTTTTCCTGCGAATTAGCATGAATCTCTGCTGTTGTGTGGAATGTCAGAGGTATTTTTTTTTCCCCTCAAGAAGAAATGTGCAAAAAGCCTGTTTTCATTCCCAGCCACAATTCCTCCACCTCTATTTGAGCCGGTGCCAGTGTTTTTGGATGCCACAGAGAAAGGACTCAGTAGGAAAAGCGGGAGCCTTTGGAGCCTACCCACTAACACTGTCCTTTGGTGAAGAAGAGTTTATGTTGAGTCAGTTTCTCACCTGAACTCAAATATTACCAAAGCTTTATTTTCAGAATACAGTGAATAAAGTATGAAATAAAAGCAATGTGTTAGAAATTCCTAGGTCTGTTCTCTAACACGATGCTTCCTAATAAATGCTTAGAAAGCCACGTTTATACTTTTGAGCCCTTGGCATCTGCCCTGAATATGTCTTAAAGCCCACTCTCTTTCCTCTTTAATTTTAGTTTGTTTGGTTTAATGATAGCTACTGAACATAAATGCCAAATTACGATGGCACTCTCCAGCTGTGTGCGGAACTTTATATTTTAAATACCAATTTGTGAAGAAAGAATGCTTCCAGCTCAGTTCTCATCAGCATTAGAGGTTTCAGCAATTGCCAATTATTTTTCTAAATTACCTATTTTAATTAAGTAAAATATTGTGAATTTAAGATTATGAAGTGTTCAAGCATTATTTCATCTTTAACTAATTAGTAAGAAAAACGAAATGTATTTGGGAACCTTGAGTGGCTATTTGTAGAGTGAAATGCTTTTTCCATGTCTTAAGGACCTTAGTTTAAGAGAAACAGTAAAATCTCTCCCTAAGGTCTATTACCTACTCGGTCTCTGCAGAGGACAGCCTGAACTCAACATCGGTTCCAGTATAATGTGAGATGGTTTATATATTAGATGCCCAAGATAGTGATGGTAATGGCCACTTGGCTGTCTAAATTTATCCAAGCTCCTCGGGGCATTCCCAGAGGGCTGGTGTCCTCGGCCCACTCCCTGAACCCATGCCTAGACATTAGGAAGAAAACTTAATTGCTCCTGCAGACATGACTGACATCAGCGCTCACCTTTGAAATTGCCATCCCTAACCTGATGGTGGGTCAGCATCCTGCTCCTCAACATGATTTTGAAAACTATCATTTCAATGCAGACTCTGACAGCCCAACAGTGTTGTTTCCAGGCAGAAGTCACAACCGTCTCCCGGCAGCATGCCCCTTGGCATTTCTCCTCCTGAACATGGCCCGTTATTAGTGCGTCGGTCCCCGTGAGACACAGGTCAGGCAGGGATTCTGCAGGGGTGTGGTGGGGAGAGCCAGCATCCTCAGTCGAGTGAAATAATCCTGCAGTCTTGATGAGCTTGCTAGAGGACGACAGAGGAAACAGGAACAGTTTGTGACATTTATAGACACATTTCCACTTAGAATAACTTGTGTGTGTGCTGAGACGTTGGCTAGAAACTTTCTGCCGTAAGGAATGGCTGCCTTGCCTTTCAATCCTCAGATTGAGGTTTAGCTTTAAGCACAAAAGTGTAACCAGGAATCTTTATACCTGTGACCATGGTAGGTGTCATTGATAGTCTCATATTTGCTGCCGAAAGACACCTCAGCCTGATAAGGAGCTCCCCGGCGACAGAGACAAGGGCCCTTGAAGTCCCGTCCGGGCCTTTTATTGTGTTTGTTTCATTCATCCACGGGATTCTGGAAACCCACTTGGAAAATTGTCCTGGTGCGTATTTTAACTGAAATGCTACTCTCAGAATTGTTTTCCAATCTACTCAGCAACAAATTTTAGGTAATATGTTTTAAAATACAAAAATAATGAATTTTGTCATTGTTTCCAATGTAATCATAAGAACTCTTGGAGTTTCTAAAGAGAGAATCTTTTACATCGTTTAGATCTGTGGCACTTGACAATTTGAAGCATCCAAAATGATATAGGCAAACTGGATGGATGGCCCAATTACATGCAATGGAAGTCAATAAAGATAAACACAAGCCACTGTCTTGAACAGTAATAATCCCGTAAATAAAAGATAAGAAAGAAAACCAATTAGACTTTAGCGCAGTGAAAAGACAAAAGACAAAGAGGTTTTGGTGAGTGAAAACTGAGTGCAGTCGAGGGAAAGTAGCCGATCGTTTTGTGGCTTACCAACACCGCGCTCTGAGTCTAAGATGCGTGGAGTTAATCCTACCTCAAACAGCAGGTTCTCAGCTGCAAGGTCGGGCTCTGCAGGCCAAACACAACCTGGACAGATGATGTCAAGGATTCCAAGCAAGGGTCAGGAGACAGAGACCTATGAAAGGAGGCAATGTAACTTTGCACCCCATGGTACTGTGTCTCCAAAAGAAGGTGGGCACTTGAGAGGTGTGAGGAAGGGACATCTTGTTGTTGCCTCTTCCCAGACCTCTCTGGGATGCCTAGGTCCAGGACTACTGAAATGGCAGCACCCTTAGCAGTCAGCCTTGGCATAGCCTCCTCTGAGCAACCGTGTGGGAGGAGAAAGGCCAAAGGGAGACCACGGCAGGCACGACGGCATTGCAGCAGAAACTTCCTGTAGGTTCTCTGTGGTAGAGGAAGGGAAGCGATTCTGCCTGCCACCCTGTTACTGGAGATACATCCCCCTCCTGCTGCTTCTATTTCCTAGCTCCTCTCTACAGAACCTGGCTGAGAGGTCTCTGTTCTGTGTGTCCCGGCCTCTGGGAAGACCACTTAGGAATCCACTCACATTTATTTGTCCCATGACACCATGATGGGGACCGTAGGTGCTCTATACCTTTGCCCATTCTACCCTCCGTCCTGTGGCCTGCCCTCTGGCAGCCTTGCTGGAGATGGGACTGCACACTCCCTCCTCTGGAACAGCTCTGTCTGTCTGTCTGCCTGCCTGTGTCATCTCCTCCACCTCATTGCACATTATTGATCAGCTTGGGCAAGTCCTCCCTCTAGAAGGCAAGTCCCGAGGAGCAGTCTGGACCTTGGCCGAACCCCGGCCTTTGGTGCAGTTGTTGGAAATGTCAGCTGTCAATGACGGAGGGACTGCAGGACGAGGAGCCATTGCCCTAACAAAGGTGCTCCTGCCCCTCCTCCGACAGTACAGGACTGGTCATCCGGTCATTCGAAAGCTCAGGAAGCCATGATCTCTCCTAATAAAGAGAAAAGATACAGGCCAACTCTTTATGTATTCAGGCCACTGGCTCATGGAAGAAAACCACACCCTCAGCATGGGGTCTTCCGTCAGTCTCTGGGTTCCTCTCTCATGGTTTGGGTCCATGAAGATGACAGCTTTTCCTGAGTGTCAAATGACACATGCGAGTAGGACCAGTGGAGTAGACTTTGCTCCTTGGTTGACAACTAAGGATATTATCAGTCAGACAGACTGGCCTAAGTGCTCATGGAAATGATTACAGTCTCTAGGAAGGGCTGGACAAAACATTTGAATGGTCACACCTATACCTGTATGGATCCCGTCGCCTGGCTTCCTCGCCCTGCGCAGGAGCTCTCACTACTTCCCACATCACATCTCAAGGAGAAACCTGATGCCCTGGGGCCTGAGACATGGAGAAGCACCGGCTGGCCTCGCCTGTGTCCCCTCACCACATCAGCGTGTAACAGAGGCTGTGTGGGAGCAGCTCGAGTGGAGAATGACAAAGACATGCAGGGGAGCCAGCCAGAGGGGGAGGGTTTCAGGAACTGCGGGCCTGGCTGACCTGGATGCTAAGCCCCTTCCGCCCATCATTCCTTGCACCTTCCTACGGAATGAGTTGTTTGAGCTGATGAACCCTTAAAGATCAAAGCCTCTCTTTTTATGCAAATAGCCAAGAGCCATAAAACCTGAGAGAGAGGAGTCAGGAATATAAATTACAGTCAGAAGTGTATCAGTGAAAGGTAAGGAAGCCCGTTCGTTATTCAGAATTAAACTCCTGGCGATGACAACGTTTTTAAACCTGTGTTTGAAATTGTGTCTAATTGAGGAGATGTGGTAGCAGAAACACGGAACCCTGAATCTCATTGTCAGAGAACTGGGGCACACTCATGCATCTCACCTCTGTGTGACTTCAGGCAATTTAGTCAACTTCTCTGGGCCTCTTTGGTTATTGTATGCTCTTGTGAGGGTCTCATGGCCGATGTTTTTGTCTCTGTGTGCGTGTATGCTGTGTGTTCTTGTGTGTGACCGTGCCTGCGGTCATCAGAGGACAACGTCAGGCATCTGTCCTCACCTGTCCTTTCGTCTGAGACCCCGTGTCTTCTTGTTTTCCACTGTCTTCCAAGCTAGCTGGCTCACCGGCTCCCGTGGGTTTTCCCTTCTCTGCCTCCCATCTCACTGCGGCTCATGGCTCGCTCACTGCTGCAGTACCCAACTGCGCTCACCGCTGTACCCACTGAGCCCACCGCTGTGGCAAATGCCTTACCCACTGAGCCGTCTCCCCACTCCGGGATACTTTCCTAAGGGGTTTCACTTTCACATCTCTCTGGCATTTGGGTGGGGTTCTGAATGTCATTATTTTCTCTTTAAAAAAAAAAAATCAAGAGCTTGATGTACCCACAGGAGGAGCTGCTGGCCCTTACTGTGATTGCGTCTATATGGTTTTTAAAGAAAATGAGTGTTTACTGTCTAGGGGAAGAGTTCTGGACTCGGCCCCATGTTACAGCTCCCAGTCCTCTACAGTCTCTCACTGCTTTCTGCCTCCCTCAGCCTTGCGGTCAGTGTTTAACACAATAGGCATTCTGTTAAGTTCTTTCCATAAATTATCTTATTTGCTTTTGTAAGGTCAGCGGTGGCATTGATCAAATTATTCAGCCTTCCTAGGTTTTTCCTGCAAAACCCAGAGTATTAACTGTTCTCTGGAGTCGCTTCATCAGCAGTATTCTAAAGGAATGCTCAAGCGTGTAGAAGGAGTCCAGAGACAAAATCCCAGGGCTTTCCTGGCAGGATCGAATCCTTCCCTCCTGCTTCTGGTGGCTGGATCCTTGCTGTGGTCTGAGGTTCCTCCTCTGCCTGGTCCTGCCTCTCTCAGAGACAGCCCTGCCTGGTCCTGCAGGGTATTGGTGAGGCCTTCATTGATCTTTAATTATTTCTCATGGCAACTGTGTCTAAGAACCCAAATAAAGAAATTCCTGTGCACATGTGAGTCCCCTGCCTTGTCACCGCCAGTACTTAACGACACTGTAATCTAATGAGAATTGTGACAGAAACGACGTCACTGTTTCCAGGAACCTTATTAAAGATTCTGCAGCCATTTTAATAATCAGGAAACTATCATGAAGATATATCTGTTAGTAACAAAAATCCATCTCCTTCAAGACTGTCCAGACTAAATAATAACATCCCACTCAGCATACAATGTGCATTTAACATCACCTTGTCCAAGATATTTAATTTACCACAGAACAAGCACAAATATATTTGTATTCATTTTCACAAAGAATTCCACAAGTCACCAGGACTTAAAATAATGGAGGTCTTGATCTGTAGGTGAATAATTTCTTTTTTCTACTTCATATACTGTACTCATGAGAACACCTTGATTAGTTAATAAATGGCAATGCTTTGCACTAAATTTTAACAGAATAGCTGCTGTGCAGAAGCTTGGATTGCCCCCCCACACACACAGTATCGACATCACATAGGAAAGTTGGGCATTTTAATGATTAAGTGAAACAGTTGCTTTGCCCATAACTCAATTCTCCTTCCAGTTTTCCAACCCCAATTCAGAGTCACTGAACCTGAAAGCTGCTGGGAAGAATCTCCCAGCTCAGTTTAATTTCCCCTCGATGCCTCCAGGAACAGACTTCCTCCCTGGAGGCGTTCCCACAATCCCTATTAGATTTTCCTTCCCTCCCCTGATGAAGCATCTGAGCATCCTGCCAGGGCCTTCCTCACCAGCCCTCTGAAGAGGAGCCCACTGAAGTCAGAGCCAACCTCACAGCTTCACAGAAGCCAAAAGGGACCGTAAGGGGGGATTTCAGAGCATCCATGTCTTAGAACCGACACCACGCTAACGTGTTTGCATCTTGGTGGTGTCTCGGAGCTCGAGGTCGTCCCAAATTTGTTCTGACTCTTCTGACCTGACTTCCATTGTCCCTGATGTCGGACTCTCCCCCACCATGAAGTCACTCTTTCCATTCCTCCTACACATGCCACACAGGCACTCTTTTTTTTTTTTTCAGTTGATTCTTTTAGTTTTTGAGATTAAAGCTTAATTTCATCATTCCCCCTGTCCCTTTCCTCCCTCAAATCCCACCCCATATACCCCTTCTTACTCTCTTTCAAATTCCCAGCCTCGTTTTCTTCATTAATCATTGTTACATGCACATATGTATATATATGCACATGTATATGTATATATGCATATGTATATACATAAATTCCTAAATATGACCTGGTTAGTCTGTATAATGTTACCTGTATGTCTGTTTTCAGGGCTGATCATTTGGTATTGAATAACCAGTTGGTGTTCTCTTCCCTGTGGGAGACTGTTTCTCTAGCTCTCAGCGTTCCTGGTTGCCTGTAGTTCTTCCCCCAGGCTTGAGGCCGCCTGAGCTCTGCACCCAACTGAATCCACATTAGCATGCCTGTTGTGGTGGTGCCTGTCCCCTTCAGGGTTGGGCAGTCCTGTTGGTGAGACTTTGTGGGTGCAGCTCCTCACAGTTCTAGCAGACACAGTCTCACAGCAAACTCCCTGGTCCTGTGGCTCTTACAGTCTTTCTGCCTCTCTTCCACAGTGTTCCCTGAGCCTTAGGTGCAGGAGCGTTTTGTAGATGTGTCCACTGGGACTGGGCTCCTCAACTCTGCATTTTGATGGGTTGTGGTTTTCTGTATTGGTTTCTGTCTGTTGTAAAGAGAAGTTTCCTTGATGAAGGGAGAGGACTATACCTCTCTGTGGGTATAAGGGTGAATATTTAGAATAGAGTTAAGGACTATGTTGTTTTGGTTTCTTTTTAATAAAAGGCTTTTTTTAGGTTTATTTACTTTCAATTTTTCATGCAGTGGCTGTCCTTTTTTTTTTTTTTTTTTTTTTTGACTTTTTTTTCCTGTTAATTACATTCCTTGTGGAACATTGTCTCTTGGAACATACAGTTATACTCATCCACAAAAACCTGAATACATTCCTTCCTAGGGGTCTGCACATGTAACTAGTTCATTAACAACAGTTTCATGATTTATAATTTACATGTATATGTGTATTTTGTAGATTTGTGTAGACACATCTGAACAATTCCATCTTAAAGTAGGCTGCCCTTTCATCTTAGTGTGTGCCCTGACCCATCAGCACCCTCACGGCTAAGAGATTGTCT